AGGACAGATAGCAGAGTTTGATACACCAAAGAAGTTACTTGAGCTACAAGGCTTATTTTATCGCCTGGTCACTGATGCTGGTTTGAGACATGACTAAGCCTTGGAAATAAACTATAAAAACATTGCTAACTTCTTTAAAAGGTTAAAAATAGATTAATTTAGAGTTTTAATAAAACTAGCCCCTAATTCCAAGCACTCTCATGTAGCACCTTCAGAAGATTGTGGCTTTTTGCTGTACACAAGACGAAATAATAACAATGACAATGTCTGAGATTATTAATTACTTGATTGTGTTATGGGGGCTTGCCGCACTTTGTTTAACATTGCATTCACTCTTTGCCATACACATTACCTTATGTCTATTCAAGCATTATAATGCAATTATTGGTACTGATTGACTAATAAAATGAATCTGTAAAATTAATAATCATCAAAATCACTAAGATAGAACTATATCACATTACAAAATTAGAAATTAACTTTTTTATCACTGATCCTCAATTTATCAAAAAGTTAAAAACCATTTGAGAGAACTCTAAGAAATATTCCATTAGCTGGTGACTGTGTCAAGCCAATACGAGTTTTCAATGGAACCTGAATTAAAAGTTAAAAGGTGAGTTTTATTTTAAGCATGCTATTATTTAAAAAGTTTATAAAGAGGCTCTTGCAAATAAAAAATTCATAAAAATTGCAAATTGCTTGAATTAACTCCTTTATTTAGGCATGGGATTTTTAAATTTTAGTTTCAAAATTCAATTATCATCTACAACACATATGCAACCCTATATATAATCCCCTAGTTATGGTATTACTGACTTGTGTGTCTGGTGCTTTCTCAAACTTGTACTTTCTCAGTAAACTTGTTAGACACATTTTAGCTTCCATTAAAGCAAACTTTATACCAATACAATTACGAGGACCAGCACCAAATGGCATAAAACACATCAGATGGTGAGACTCTTTCTCATGAGGACTAAACCTTAAATATATAAAATAATACAAGTTCATTAAAAATTACAAATGTCAAACCTTTCTGGCCTGAAAATGTCAGGCTGCTCCCAATGTTCAACTGACTGGTGTAGAACCTGAATTGGTATCATGACTGTGCATCCTGCTGGTATAGTAACTCCATTAATTGTACACGTATTTTCACACTCTCTGAAGGTCCTATTACACTAAATGATCAACAATTAAGTAGTAAAAATGATAATACATTGATGCTGGTGCATATATCCTCTGTGACTCTTTTATTACCCAGTCTAAATACTCTATGCTATGTGCAGCATCATAAAGAGAAGAATCCTATTATAAAATTTAAACCATAGGTTAGGACTCATGTTACAATTGGATTAAGGATAAATGTAAATGAAAATGAATATGAGATTATATATATGTTCAAACTATATGCATATTATTGTGTCATACTTTATTGCATTGATAATATTTATTGATTTCTTGAGAAAGTTTATTCTGTTTATCAGGGTTCATTGCTAGAAGATAAGCTGTGAATCCCAGTAGGCTAGCAGATGTATCATATCCAACTAATAAAAAAAATAACGAAACAGAAGTTATTTCCTCATCAGTTAATTGCTTAGAACCAGGACAAATTTGATCATCTTCTGCTTTGGCTTCCATCAAAAGCTGTAGAAGGTCAACATTCTAAATAATCATACAGATTAGTATATATATATCTCATGAACTATGAAATATATCTTATAAAACACGCTGACAGAGTTAATACACCCTTCAACTCTAGCACCTTGGATCCTTTGGGGCCTGCTAAAGGCTCAAAGGTAATATTGATTCAAAGATTTGAGGTAAAGCTTATAATCATCATGCATTTTATATGTAATAGTTAATGCATGGGGTGGCGTGTGCTGTCTTTATATCATCACTCGCTTAAGGTCTCGTTGCTAAAAATAGCACACAAGGGCCAAATTCCCTGCTCAATTTTGGAGCTGCATGACTCGTGCAGCACCAAATTGATGAGTGGCGATAAATCAGATATCACACTGGACCTCTTTTCTCCCATATATTTCTATATGATATTGCTGCTCTCCTCTTGCTCTTCATGCTCTATCTGTTTTATCACTACTAAGTTTCCTTTGATCTTAAAGTCAGACATGCAATAAAATATACTATAATATAGATGGGCAAAAGGTCTTACTGTATTTTTGTATGATTGCAGGTGCCTCTGATTGATAACATGAAAAATAAAATTTCTAGCAGTACTATGGTATTGAGTTAGTTTCAATCTTTTAGCAAAAAACAATCCAAAAAACTTTATGGAGAAAGGAATTTGAGCTATGAAAAGTTTAACAAATTTATTGATTTTTACCAGTAACTTACTGCACAAATCACTTAGCAAATTATACAAATTAGGTGTAAATATTCCTGTAGCAGCTTCTGTAAGAAAGTTCTTTTCTCCTTTAAGAATATTGACTTGACAACCAAATGCAGTTGCTAGAATGACTTCCATACTGAACTGTCCAAATATTCTACATACAAGAATTAATAACTGTACAGTTCCAAATTTTGTATCATTACATCAAATGCAAAAAACTACTTAATAATTAAGGCTTTAGTCAATTATTGGCTTAAAATTAACCATGAAATGTGTCATAGGATGCATTTGTATGATATTGTTTACCTCCACAACTCAGCACCATTGTTCTTTCTACTTATGTCACTAAATATCTCAACCAATGTATCACAACTCCTTTCAATAAGTGGTGATACCTGTAAACATAAAAACCATTTAAATATTTTTCCTGATTACTATTTCTTTATTTTTAGTTATTTGGCATTATGCAGTTCTGTATGTCACCAGGCTAAAGGTGGGCATCCACTATGCCGCATTGTTGTTTGCAACTTATGATTAAACCTTTGATGTGTTGCATAAAAAGCCATGAAGTAGAGACTCTCAATTTCATGACATGTTGCACAACCACATCAAAGGTACTGACAACAAAGTTGTGAAATGGATGCCTAACTTAAATCAGCCATTTTACCATTCATGTATATACCATTATTACCATTTTCAACTTCTTTGCTGAAAAAGCAGGATTAACAATAGCTCTAGTCCTCTTCCAATCTTGCTTATTCATAGACAACATTATGCTGCTAATTTTAGCCTTTTTGCGAATTTCAGTCAAAAAGCCAAATTCCTTCTAGTGATCAATATAAATCATTAACATAATCATAATGATAACAATTCGAACAAGAATGCTGATCTAACAGCCACACCCTTTTGAAATAATATTAAGTATGTGCCGATATGTGCAATTATTGATGGAGGATAATGATGCCAGACTTCAACTTACCTTTCTCTCAGTAAAGTTATCAAACTTTTTTATCATAATCTCTTTCAATATATCAGGATCAAGCACAGCAAGGTAAGGCTGTGCACCAATATAGTATCTGTTGTATATATACATAACTTATGGATGCTTTTGTTTGGACAATGAAATACTTACCCAAATACTTTACCATATTCTTTTGACCATTTCTTTAAAGCACAGATACTCCCCTGCATACAACAGTTATGACTAGATAGCTATCCAGCACACATGCATGCACTTACCACTTTAAATATGTCAAAAATATTTCCAAAGAATGGTACAGTTGGCGGAGAATGCAAGCCAAACTTTTTAAAAAATTGGTAGGGACTATACATAAACCTGAAACAAATAATAATCATTAGGTCTAGTTGCCATGCAGCTTTTACAAACAGTAATAGGCTTAGATAGTGAATTTCAAATTGATCTTAGACTTACTTGTACCAAAAAAGAAATAAAGTTATTAGAAAACAAATTCCTCCTAGATATAACATATCCTAAATAGCAGCAAATAGACTATAGTTAAGGAGAAACAGGCCACAGGAGTGACAGGACTGCAAATAGCTGTTTCGTCTCTTTCCTGTGCAATCCTAAATAACAAAATAAACAGAGTGACACAATTAATGATTAATGGTTTGGCTAATGAGACTACGTCAATGAGTATACTGAGCCACAAGAAGCAGCCACTCATGTATACTTTCTTGACTACTGAGTTGCAGCTAGATAGGTGCAGATTAAAATCAAACAACCTTGCACCACAGTGTGAAATAAATACCCGTACAAGATGATCTATTAGCCGGAGTAATATTTGGCAAATTTGCCTGTGGAAAGAAATTGGTGGATTTTATATTGGCAATTTTGTGCCACATGCCATTGAGCATGCTCAGATTAAAACAAAATGGTGGATTTTAAATTGGCAATTTCTTCATAAAACCGCCAATCGCCAATATTATTCCCCGCCAATAAATCATCTTGTACGGTATCAGGGTACCTAAATAAAACAATACCACAGCCATAAAAGTTAGTTACACTGTGGCATATCAATGATGAAACAAGTAAAAAGTATAAAGTAATAACAAATAAAAAGGATAACATATTTAAAAAATTAAATACATGGCTTTATGTTGAGCTAGCATGCTATAACTAATTGTAGAAGCACTACAAATACAGTATAGTAACTTAAACGAGAAGGTGCGGTATAAACGCGGGGCCCTGGGCATGGTGGCTTCCGTTTTATTCACGTGTAAAAATGTCGGCTCTAGATGGTGTTGCTTCTTCAAGGAAAAGCGCAGAAAGAAAAAGGTTTGGGTACCAAATGGACTTCTATTTTACTCTCAAGGAAGACAAGGACCAGTTCTAGTTAGGCTTGATTGAGTTAAGGGGTCTTTAGGCACTAAAAGAAGGCGCTGGAACTGCCGTCTCATACTCCGGGCGCCGATTTAGTTTAAAAAGAGAATCATTCTGAGGCTCTATCACATGATACTAGTAGTTCTTCTGCTATGCTTAATACTTCAGGTAGTTATAGTGTGTTAAAATTAGTGATTATATATAAATAAGGTATGGGTGATGGGGACGAAGAGCAGCCATTTTGTGCATAGATATAGGATCGGCTATTGGGAAACATACATTAGTGTTAGTGTGGTATGGTTGACCGAAGGATGATCAGTTACAGACAGGTATTCTTTGTTAGTATTATTATTATTATTATTATTATTATTATTATCAACATCATCAAAACTATTCATAATTTTAGATCGTCATGTGATTTGTGCTGAATTTCGATTCAATGCCAGTTGTGAGTCCTGTAATCGTAACTCAAGTTTATTAGGCACTAGATACAGAAGTAAGTATTATTTGTAATGTAAAGTAATCATATGGTGGCATTAATATTTTTAGGCTCGTACTAGCATTTTTCTTGTGTTGGTATATTACCATCACAGTACTGCCATATTTTTGTCGGCATCACTGGGCACAGTTGGGAAGAGGTACACAGATACAGAAGGCTCCTCACCATCCCAATATCTATTCAACCCTATAATGTTTATATTTTAAAAAATTTAGAATAGTATTTTTGTATTTACTTCTTCCAGTAGATCGTTGAATGTTACAACTGCTACCAGTACTAGGATCTGAATGAGGACCATGTAGTGAGGGCTATTCCCTTGCCACTATCACTTATTACCTGCCTGACAGCATCATTGACTGTGTTTCTTAGGCTGTTGGCAGATTTTTCAGAATATATATATATATACAATATAATTGATAATAATGTAAAATTATTACTTCAAGTCAATTATACCATTTCTCTCCTTGCTATGCTTTCTAGGTGTGCTTGTAGGTTAACTCTCTCACCTTTGCTAATTTTAATGTTTTTATAATGCGTTTTGCTAGTGATTTAGCCATGATAAGAACAGTGCCAGTGCGGGAGCCATTTTGTTATTTTCAAATTTCATTCAATCTGGCCGCCATATTGTGCCCAGGGCACCTCCTTTTATACTGTGATCGACGGAAGCGATTTCATGACGTGTGAATGGTTTTATAGTGCACCTTCTTGTTTAATAGGTGCAAATGTCCAAACTTGCAATTAAGTCAATCAGGAAGTAGCCTAGTCTTAATTGCCACCCAAAGCATTCCCCAGCCTACACTCATTTGTGTGTGGACTGAGGAATGGGAGATTATTAGTAACCATAGTGGTTACCTTGATGATATTCATTGATGAGTAGGCTTTACCCTTGGAATGCCACTTTTATTTATACAACTCAATGCTAGCATAACAAACAACAAGCAATGATGATCAAGTGTTACAGACATGGTTACATTAAAAAATCATGCTTTTCAATAATTATTATATGCTTACTATTATGCAGGAATAATGGTTAATCAACTTTGCAAGCCAGGTTTCTTTTGGGTCAGTTTCTTAGTGTTGTATATTTGCCCAGCCTCAAAACTAATAAAATAAAAACAGTTACAAATAAGAAAACAGAGACAGACAGATGGACACACACAATAAAAATAAAGCAGCATGTAGGAATGAACAAAAGAACAAGGATAACACATTGTATGAATAAAGAAAGAGAGAGAATAAGAGGAAATGCACAAGAATTATAAATGGAATCATATAATATCAAATAAAAAGGAATGAATGAACAATGTAGCTCACACTACCAATGGTACTGAAGTACATCCAATGTACAAAATTGTAGAACAATTAAAGTAGAGTATGAGAACTGAAGAGAATTTCAGAGAACTGAGTAAAGACAACTTTACAACTGAAGAATTTGATCAATGCAGGGCTATTTATATGGAGGATGTGTGGTTATTATAGTTTATTATATTATAGTTAATTAAATGGACTATCAATCAATGGATTATAGGTACTAAAGGAGTAGCTACCAGAGGAGAGACTGGATTTGGAGTTGGATTCTTAGATGAGTCAATTGCTGCTGAATGAGTGAAGTAAGGCCCTTGTCCTAAGACGGAGCTGATCAATATGTCTATGCCATTGTTGAACTATGTAACCATGCACTATGATGAACTAAAGAGACCACATATCATACTGGCCGGACCAGTAACTTCAGTAACAGTTGCTGGTATCTAATTATTCTGACCAGAGTAAGCTCGAGCAAACACCTTATCTCCTAAAAACGAAGGATTTCACTTTCTTTTCAGGGATGTTCTGCTTTTGTTGTATTCTCTTAGCTCAGTGAATCTGGATGAAACTGATCTAAATGTGTACAAATTCTTCTACCCATCAATAATTCAGAAAGAGAATGCCTGTGGAGTTATTCTATAAGTTAGGAGAAAATGGGATAATCTTTATCGTATTATGAGAGATCAATCACTTTACTAGGGCTGACTCTGTGAACCACTAACAGGACTTCTGCTATACTAAGGATGGTCTAATTAATGCTAGAAAACGCAAAAATGCTAAGAAGAACTATATCTCTCTCTCACATAGCCTCGGCACCAGTCCCTTGGCCCTGAGATTAGATCTCTTAATTTATTTTCAATTCTAAAATCAATAGTACCTTCCAATTTAACAATTCCTTGTTTTACTGTCTGTATCGCCATCTCCGCTAAGCCATTTGATGATGGGTGATAAGGTGAAGTATAGCTGTGCTTAATACCATTCTGTTGGGTGAATAATTTCAACTGTTCACTGGTAAATCCTGAACCATTATCAGACACCATGTGTTCTGGAACACCATGAGTAGTGAAAACAGAACGAGTACTTTAATTGAAGCTTCTGAGGATGTGGGTGGAACTATTGCTGCTTCTATCCACTTAGTATATGGGTCGACTATGATGAGGAATAAATGTTCTAATAATGGTCCCGCATGATGAATATGAATTCTTGACCACAGACGTTGGGGTACTCCCATAGGTGCGTGGAGTGGAGCTTTGAGAGGAGCAGAACGTTGCAGCTGACATGTAATACACTGTCTAACCAAGTCTTCAAAACATGGGCTATAGCCTTTCTTTTTTTCAAAAATTAGCTTTGCTCATAACTCAAAAATTAATCATCAAACTATTTAAATAAGGACATCAATATATATCAGAAAATGTAATAAAAAAGTGAGGGGTGATTGCAGAGCCAAGTTCTTGTTTCAATCAAAATCAATCACTCAATCAAAACATTTAAAGACATCTATAGGCATTAAAAATATCATTAAAACTAACAGAGTCATTTCTTGTAAAAAATTAAAAACAAGGCATAAGTAAAAAATTTATAACATGCATCATGCAATCAGACTCACCTCAAAATTTCTACTTATATTTAGCATCTGCATAAAACTTTACACATGTACATTGGAGTAATGGAATATTATAGTTATATTACATGCATAATCAAAATTGACCCAATTGCCAACAATTAATTATAGGTTCTTACCAAGTCAGTGCAGTCCTCTCTCCTCAGGGTCAAAGGTCATGGCTGGCAGTCTTAAACAAGATGCATCCTTTGCTTATCAAATAGCTGGCAACCTTTTCTCGAGTTTTCATTTCACAAACAAATGGGATGAATTAAGGTACTAATAAAAAAATTAAGTAAAAAAGATTATAAATATTTTTTTATTACTCCCATGCAAACTGCCATTCAAATTGTGCAAACCACACCAAAAACAAAAAATTATACACAAAAATTTTAAATTGTTATTTAAACTGAGCAAAATTTGAAACACCCTAAAATTTTAACATCAACATTCTACACCTACATGACATGTACATCAATATACACCTCTCACATATGCACACACGTACACATGAACAACTAAGTGCACACACGCACCTTGGCACACATGTAGACTTGACACACCTGATTGTTCACATAAATGAATTAATTTGAAGCTCCTTGATCATTTCCTTTTGAATTGAAAAATAAAAAATAATGGTAAGTGGCAACATTCTCGGCAACATTAATAATGAAGTAGGCGTAAATAGATCTACCAAAGGCATGGCTATGTTGCAGCAATAATGGAGAGTCAAGATGAGCACGTTTTAAATGCCTTTATGATAAATGCAAGGACACTTTCCAGTGTGTTGAAAGCTATACAATTCAGAGATGTAAGTGAAAATTAACATAAAACCACAGCAGGGATTTAATTATACAATTTTTAGACTGCAACCTGCTTTATCAGTTCCACTGGATTGAGAGTGACAGTAGAGCAGGCAAAGTGTGTACAAGCAAATTGTTTTGTAAAATCAGATCTCTTTCAAGCCTACAACTACAATGAGGACTCCACACTGATATTTTATATTGACCTTAATGTTCTAATTGTAAGGATTGTTTTGTGTGAAATAATTTTGAAGATTCGTCGTCTTTTTAATTAAATAGGAATGTTTGTGTATTTTTGGTAATGAAGCAAACACATCTTTAAGATTGTACTATGATGGATATGGGACTCCACTTCAATTAGTGTACATTAATTTTAATCATTGATTTGAAGTGAAGTACACATTGTTGTGCATTTAAGTTTTAAGTGATAATTAATATAATAGACCTCCTCCTCAAGTGAGAATGACGGTGGCTTATAAATATCATTATTTTTTCGGTATCTACCTTTGTGTGATAATACACAATTTAATGTAAGACAAGTTATCATAATACTATACCATTATCTAATGACCTATTACTGCCTACTATCTTAATGTCTAAATATTTTAACCTCTACAACATCAACATAATGAGTAGTTCAATACACAGTCTACCACACAATGTGCATATTATTAAGAATAATTATTAAATTAAGAATTAATTGTGCATCTTATAAAATAACAATAGACACTTGTCACGAAATGCAACACAGAAATGAGATTTCACTAATATCGTGTCAACTTAAAGCGTTATGTGCATCAAAACGTCAGATCGCGCACATGTTAATTGTAATGCTACGTTGATCATAAACCTACATTGAAAGTTACTAACTCATGTGGCAAACACTAATTAATTAATCCTAAATTAAAGCTACGGGATTGAGAGAATGAGAATTAGGAAGCTAGTGCCCAGGTTCATCAAACTACCTGCATCACAAACCTCACCAATCAACCCACCATGACCTGGCTTAGCTCAACTGTATAGCACTTGCCTGCTTTTAAGTAGTTAAAGGATCGAGACAAAAATCGGCCTGATCTGCTTTTCCACATAACTTAGAGGCTCCTAACTGTTGCAGTGGTAAAGAAATGGAGATTAAAGTTGGAATCTTTTCTCTCTGGATGCAGCTCTTTTGCTCTGCAGGCAAAACGGTAAAATAACACCTTTTCCCCATTGAAGACTGTACAAAGTATACCCCCAACATGGCGGCCAGAATAATTTTTTCATTTACGGTATCCAAACGAATATCATTAAAAAGTCTATGAATATCATGCATCTCATTCACACAGATCTGGTGGATACATACATGTACATATACTTACTCAAATACTTTTCTCAGTTTCTCTTCATTGGCCCCAAAAGGTACATTACCTACAAACACAGAACAGTGAGTGTCATTAGTAGGTGTGGCCAGATCAACCCTAATAATGCCTCCCATCAACCTCTTGTCCATTCAACTCCAAACAAGCACTAGCAGACTCCTCCGTCTCCATAACAACATAGAAATTAGTAGTCGTCCCTGTCAACTGTTTTCCGAGTTTCCTAGCAACTCCAACAGGAAGCTTACCAGGAGAAACCGCAACTGATCGTTGCCGTGGCGACTCGACCAAACCAAAGGGGAAGACCAGCTTGAGTATGTCCTTTTTAGTTGACGGAGGAATGTTACCAATAAATACTGTACGAGGATTTCGAAGATCATTTTTATTATTAGTAGTATTTCTTTTTCTGGTTGTATCTCAGGTTGTACTTGGTCCTAGTAAACTGTCTTAGTCTGTTCTTTCTTTCTTCTTGATGGGTCTGAAGGAGTGAATAGCTTCTCTTTTCCCTCTTTAAGCACTTAACTTCGAGCTTAACTTTGCCTGAGCAGCCATTTTGAAATGTGAGAACACGTGGGTGGCTGGCTGCAATTAGTTCATGGTGCATGTATAGGTCTATAGCTACTGTATAAAAGCAGTTAAAACAATGCATGTCATGTATAAAAACTAGGAGGCTATAAAGTTTGGCCCTTTTATACCACTACTAGGAGACTGGAGTGACTTTCTTCCTTTCATATTGATTGCAGTCAGTAAAGTCTTCAAGATTATTTCATTTTAATGACAAAAATTTTAACTTTTACTAAACTCAACTAATATAGATACATCATATATGTACATCTTGACATAAATTTGGAACCTTAAAAATTAAAATTTTAATAGACTTTCTACACAACATAATATTTTTTGTACATTCATTATAAAAAGATGTGCATGTGTTGGTAGCTCATTTGGCCATGCTGCACAGTAGTAGTTGTAGAGCTGGCAATGACAGTTCAAATCGCCATAAATACATGCAATCAAAATTTAAAAGAATTATTTTTCAAAAAATTAAAACTAGTATATAAATCTCTAGCTTCAGTCTTGAGTATCAATCCACTTGACATTTCATCTTTATTTCAGCTTGAACCTATCAATGATAATATTAAATTCCTTACAAAAACTTACTGTTAGTATTGTTATTTTTCTTCTTGTGTGTAGTGCTCTTAGCATCACTAGCAGTAGTAACCACTAGTGATCCCAGGCAGCGCCACGTGGAGGCGGCACTACACTGCTGCCCAAAAAATTGAAATAACCTGGCCCAACACTCTTGCTGAGGCCCAGGTTGTAAAAATAATAATAATAAATAATAATAAATAATAAATCATAAAAAATAAAAAATTATAAACGATAATAATAATTTAATAATAATAAATCATAAAACCTAGATCTATAACCTATACGTACACTATATAACCTGTATCCTATAACTACCTGTTTCCTAATTTCTATACCATAATTACTTTCTAATTTCTACTACACAATAACTACACCATAGCCTAATATAACTATACCTGCTTCCTAATTTCTACTACAATACCTACCTATACCTACAACTTATTTTGTATACACAACGTAAGACAAGTTATCTTAATACTGTATCATTATCTAATGACCTATTACTGCCTCCCACCACTACTGTCTAAATATTTTAACCTCTACAACATCAACATAATGAGTAGTCTTAATACACAACCTACCACACAATGTGCATATTATCAAGAATAATTATTACATTGAGAATTAATTGTGCATCCTATAAAATAACAATAGACACTTGACACAGAATTGAGATTTCGCAAATATCGTGACAATGTGAACCGTTACTTGCATCAAAACGTCAGATCACACGCGCGTAATTTCAATGCTACGTTGATCATAAACCTACAATGAAAATTATTGATTTATTTTGAAAGGTGAGGCAAACACTAAACAATTGATCCTAAGTCAAAGCCACGGGATCGAGAAAGAGATCAGAATGAGAATTAGGAAGCTAGTGCCCAGGTTCATCAAGCTACCTGCATCACAAACCTCACCAATCTACCCACCGTAACCTGGCTTAGCTCAACTGTATAGTGTTTGCCTGCTTTTAAGTAGTTAAAGGATCGAGACGAAAAAAGAAAAAGAAAAGTCTGATCCTTTCTTCTGCTTAGAGTCCATATCACATAAAAAGGAAAGAGAGTGAAAGAGGAGAAGAGAGGGTTCCAAGCATGAAATACTGGGTGCCTCGATCCGACCCAAAAGGGGGACACGACTTCTCCCACACTCCTGGGCGAAACCCTCTCCCCTCCGCTGACCCTCCCCTTCCCTCTCACATGATTGGGACTAAAAGCAGGTCATTGTGAAAAAGGGTAGCTCAACCCATACAGTGAAAAAATATGCTTGTGTATTTATTGAATCCAAAGCAGCTATGATATGTTCTCTCCCTCCAGTTCTTTTGTTCCTCTCCTTTCTCCTCTCCCCACCGGAAGACAGCTAGTAATAAAGAAATGATCCGATTGTAAACTGACAGGAGAAGTGTAGAGTAGTGATGCATGATATGACATTAGT